AGAGAGAGAGAGAGAGAGAGAGAGAGAGAGAGAGAGAGAGAGAGAGAGAGAGAGAGAGAACATAATGAATTTGTTCAACGAGTAGGAGGACGAGCAGGAGGAGGAGAAGTTAGGGTCCATTCAATTCGTCATCCAAAACAGTGGCCACTGTATCGCTTATTCAGTGGATGATTGAGCAATAAATGAAGCATGGCCAGAATTGCTAACCTGTGGATTCCAGTCCGTATCATATATGATGACCGTGTCAGCAGCCTGCAGGTTGATGCCAATCCCACCTGCACGGATACTGGCACATAACAACCACACAGCCACTACAGATATCAATCGATGTTAAATGACACCAGGTTGAACCACCACTGCCCCCGGGCCTCTTTCTGAACCTGCCAGTCCTCTAGCGGGCCATGCTAAGAAGCCAAGGCCTGTCATAGGCAACGCTTGCGGATGGTTATGGTCCTGATTCCACTATACATTCATTGTTTTGAACAACACAGCTATTTACCATATCAGTTCACAGACCTGAGTTCATAATTTTTAAAAGGGTGACAGCCTCCACATATCATCATTGAAATGATCGGCCCCAGGTAATTCAGAGTTATTTTATTCTGTTCATCTGATTACATCTAGATTCGGACTTGAGTCAGTATTTCAGCAGTTCATTGGGTGTACCAACTAAGCTAGGCCTGTTGGCTGACCTGACAGCCGCCTACCTCGCAGCAAGGGACAAAAAAAGTGGCTCTTGTGAGCGGCCCCATAAGAGTGCAGTAGGCACTCCAAGCGAGGAACCACCGACTGTTTGGCACTACTTAAGGGTGCTCAGTGGGGTTAAACCGCCCGTACATCGCCCATGCAAACGTGAGAATCAAAATTTGAGCCAATCTGGGGGCTGAGGGCAACCGGGCCACAATGGCTGGCGGCACCAGCGAAAAAAGAATACAAAAAGTGCACCACTGGCGGTTCGGCAAAGCTTGGCCTGCAATGCGAGTTCGTCACGGCAAAAGGAGGCTCGGATGTACTAATCCTTTAAACCACCACTACCTCCAAACGTCTGTTTTCCGAGGAAGAGAAGAACCGTGCACCAAGCTTTGCAACGTGCCAGCGCGGCGCAGTTTTGTGTTTTCCGTTTTTGCTGGCGCCACCAGCCATTGTAGTCTGGTAGCACTGTTCATCCCCAAAACCCAGAACATTACATTCTTGATTCCCAGTGTTGCCAATCTAAAAAGAAATTGGCGAACCCAGAAAAATACACACACACACACACACACACACACACACACACACACACACACAATCAGTTTTAGGTATGTTTGTTTTTCCTCTTTCTCCTATTTTTTTTAAGTGCTTTTTGTGTCTGTAGCCGAGCACCCTCTAGCAGTGCCAAACAGTCGGTGGTTCCTCGTTTGGAGTGCCAACTCCTCGTTTGGAGTGCCAACTCCTCGTTTGGAGTGCCAACTGCACTCTTAGGGGGGCCGCTCGGTTCGAGATGTCTGTGTTGCCTGTCGGTGATGACGGATGGTCTCCGAAGTGTCTCCCTGGCTCAGCGGTGGTGGGAACCAACAGTCTGCGGGGTTCAATCGTGATGTGAGTAGGTCATGTGCTGCTTTGCTCCGTGTTGGATGTGTAGACTGTCTTGTCTGTGCTCTGCCGCTGCCTTGCTGCCCGTGCCGCTTGCTTCGCAGGTCGTCCTCGCTGCTCTGCTGCCCTGCCGCCTATCCCCGGGCCGTGCCTCCCGTGTCTTTTGCTCGCGTGCCTCGTGGTCTGGTGGCGTTGTGGTGGTGCCTCGCGCTTCACTGCACAGTTGCTGAGCTGCTTGTCTGTGTGCCCTGTCGGCCTTCAGTGTCCTTTGCTTGCATGCCTTGTAGTTTGGTTGCCTTGTTGGTGATGCCTTGTGCTTCACTGGACGGTTGCCAAGCTGCTCGTCTGCTTGCCCTGTTGGCCTTCTGCGTCCTTTACTTGCTTGCGTGCCTTGTAGTCTGGTCGCCTTGCGCTTCACCGCACGGTTGCCGAGCTGCTCGTCCGCTTGCCGTGTTGTTCCTTGCAGTCGTCTTTGGTGATAAGCAGTTGGGCTGCCTCTACTGCGTTGCCTGGTGCTCCGCAGGGTTGCTGCCCGCCGCTATGACCTGCTTGGGGACAGTCTGCCTTCAACATGGGTCAAAGGGTTCATGATCCAAACCATCAAATACAGAGATTCCGCAGATTGTCGAGGGTTCAGCCTCCTGATGAGTCGGTGCAACTCTGACGAAACAATCTTGTTATCATCAGTTTTCATTTTTTTCGGTCTTATGATTTTTTTAGGACTTGTATTTTTTCCTGTTTGCCTGTTTGGTGTGCTTGCATGTTGTCTACCCTCCTGCCTGCTTGATGTGCTTGTGTGTCGTCTGCTCTTCCACCTCCCCTGTGCCCTCCAGCCTTTGTCCTTCGCTGTTGCTTGTCATCCCATCATGCCTTTTAATTGCCCGCTTGGTGTCGTTGTGTGTCATCTGTCCTCCCGCCTCCCCCATGCCCTCCATCCTATGTGGGACGTGGAAAACTGGTTGTGGTTAGCAACGGATGTATTAGGTAGCTTCAGAGAAGTAAAGTGGCAGCAGTGGTTTGCCTGTTTGGTTTGTTTGCGTGTGGCCTGTCATTTTAAGCTGGCAAGGTAGCATGGATGGGTGGCAGTTAAAACGGCACGTGATGGGCTATGGGTGGACCTGGTGTACCACTGAAAGAGTGGAGTAGCATGGCGGATGCGCCGTGAGATCATTTCCGAACACACACACACACACACACACAATCAGTTTTATGTCTGTCAGTCTTTTTCCTGTTGTCTGTACTCCCTCTGAACTTTTCTAAGTATTTTCTTTGTGTGCCCAACTGAGCACCCTTAAGTAGTGCCAAACAGTCGGTGGTTCCTCATTTGGAGTGCCAACTGCACTCTGAGGGGGGGCCTCTCGGTTCGGGATGTCTGTGTTGCCTATGGGTGATGACGGATGCTCGCCAGTGTGACTCCCTGGCTCAGTGGGTGGTGAGAACCAACAGCTTGCGGGTTCAACCATGATGTGAGTAGGTCATGTGCTGCATTGCTTCGGGTTGGATGTGTGGTCGTCCTCGTCTGCGCTCTGCCGCTGCCCTGCTGCCTGTCCCGCTTGCTTCGCATGTGGCTCTTTGCAGGTTGATGCGTTCGCTGTGCGGTGTGGCCGTGTTGTTGGTGTTGCCTTGTACTTTGCTGCTCCATTGCCGTGCTGCTCATCTGCTGGCCGTGCCTTCCGTGCTTGCCGCTTGTGTGCCCTGTAGGTTAGTTGCCTTGTTGCTGGTGCCTTGCGCTCCCCTCCACGGTTCCCGACCTGCTGGTCCACTCGCCCTGTTGTCCTCTGCAGTGCTGTTGCCTTGTTTGTGTTGTCTTGTGCTTCACTACACGGTTGCCGCGCTGCATGCCTTGCGTGCCATGTCGTTCCTTGCAGTCGTTTTTGGCGTTGTGCAGCTGTGTTGCCCCTACTGTGTTGCCCCTACTGTGTTGCCTGGTGCTCCACAGGGTTGCTGCCCGCTGCTATGTTCCGCTTGGGGACAGTCTGCCTTCAACAAGGGTCAAAGGGTTCATGACCAAACCCTCAAATACGGAGATTCTGCAGATTGACGAGGGTTCATCCTCCTGATGAGTCGGTGCAACTCCGACGAAACAATCTTGTACTATCGGTTTTTTATTTTTTTATTTTTTTCGGTCTTCGTTGTTTTGAGGGACTTGTTTATTTTTTCCTTTGCCTGCTTTCTGTGTTTGAGTGACGTCTGCCTTCCCGCCTCCCCCGTGCCTTCCACCCATTGTCTTTTGCTGCTGCCTGTTGTGTTATGCTTGGGGTATCTTTCTGTACTTGTACTTTTCTTTTGTCTTTCCTTGTTTTGTGCATTTATGTATGGTCTACCCTCCCACCTCCCCCGTGGCCACCCGTCCTTGTGCCTTTCTGCAGTTTGTTGTCGTTGCCTCCTTGCCTTTTGCCTTATTGTGCTTCCTTTCCCCGTCCTGTGGTGTCTGTTTGATCGTGTGTGTTCCAGTTCGCCCGCAAAGAGCAGTAGGAGCATGAGTGCTCGTGTAGTCCGGCATAGTCATTCCCCACCTTACAGTATAGGTTCCGTCTGCACCACACCTATGTTCCTGAGCTTGCTCGTGTAGTCCGGCATAGTCATTCCCCACCTCCGAGTACCGGAGGCGTCTGCACCACGCCGACAAGTTTTCATTCTTAAGGTGCGCCGATATATTATTTCGGAGCTTGATTATGATGCGGTTTCCGTATCATACCATAAACATGTCATATTTTTATGCGGGTTACACGCACACACACACGCACACGCACACGCACGCACACACGCACACACACGCACACACGCGCACACACACGCACACACACACACACACACGCACACACACACACACAATACATTACCTCAGAAGAAAAATGAATGCCTTGGACTCAGGTGAATTGAACTCTTCAATCAGACCACCTCGGTCTTGGCCCTGCGTGCCGCCATCTAAGCGCAAATAAGAATATCCTCTCCAATCCAAATAGTCCTCCATCAGATTGAGCAACCTTGTCATCGTACAGAAAAAAAGCACCTGGAAGGAAAGGACATGAAAAAGAATAGGTACTATGATAAGGGGACATCATACATGTCAACAACATCGTCTAGATAAAAAATGTATTGATACACCTTTGATTAAATCCATTACACCAAACATAACTCCCTCCCAAAAAGATTGCTTCCTATTTTCCTTTCCTAGGGATTTCATGGACGTATCTGGCCGCTTTTACGACCAGTGGTGGACGTATCTGACCGCAACTGCGTCCAGTGTTCAGTTGAAAAGTCCAGTGGAACTGTGCCCTAAGCCTACCACATCCTTCAATACCGAAGTGGGATAAACCACGAAAGAGAATGATGGAACGAAGTTCCAGCAACCCACCTTTTATTTTCTATGCGTTCTTTCAGAAAGAAATTTCCTCCTTTTTTTATAGAAAGGGGGTGTAGCCCTGTACAAGATTGCATCCATCTTATTCCTAGAGGATTCGAGCTCGTGATCTGTCCATCAACAGCTACATGTGTACCATGCAGACCCAAGGGCTGGGTCACTGGGTGACAATTACTCAATTCTCTTTCCAATACAGGAGGAATACGTACGTACACCAATGAACTATTGAATTCGTATGTACACCCACACTCGTGTTATTATTCATTAATTTAGATGTGATTTTCTCGAAGAGGTATTTGGCCATTGCCTTGTTTAAACCGCTGGTACACGGCCCCAGCCTTGTCAAGATTTGCGCCCCGGGCCTACCCGGCCACAATGGCTGGCGGAGCCAAACAATAAACAAAAAAGTGCGCCGCTGGCAGAGTAGAAAAGCTTGTGCGAAGTGCAGCACCTCTAGGCCTGGGTGTACTAGCGGTTCAAAGCCGATGTTCATCATTCTAGCTCTAATCTGTGCATTGCGGCGCTCGTAAATTCTCTATTCACACAGTCCATGCCACTAGCATGGCATGATATACGGAGCAAATACAGATTGCACGCACGCTAGATCGGTCTCCGTTATTCGGAACCATTCGTGTGAATCTGTTGAATTGGCTGCCCTTCATACTATGTCCAACCTTGTGTCAGGCGCAGCGTTTCATTCTCCCCTATCGCGACTGGTTGAAGTCCCCCGGGATCAACGTACAGACTTATCCCCTGGAGGGTTTCTTCAACTTTCTTGGCTCCATTTACCATCCATGCAGCACCTCCTTTCCTTGTCGCCCGCGATCAACATCAGGTGCAGATCCGTCCTTGATGTCGAAGAGCTACAAGCGTGAGTCTGCCCTTATAAACATGAGTAGTGCTGTTAGATGTAGGAACAGCCACAGTGGGTTCAAGCTCGCCCAGCCAAAACCAAAGGTCCAAAGCACACACACATGATGAATCAGAGTGACGATCACCTGATGCGCTGTTGACTGCAAGATGAGTATGAAAAAAAGGGGACACAGAAAAAAAGGACTGACGCTTACCCGATGACCTGTCGCCTTCAGCTTCGGAAGAATCCGATCGAGAAGTTCAATTTTCCCACAAAGTCGGACTAGAGGTGGCAAGTAATGATCTGGAAGCGCGCCATCTACCTGCCAGCTCACCAAACAACACCAGCATCACAATGCCAGCTTTCAGGTTATAATAATAAGAGCAGCCACAGTTTATGGTATTACTTAACGCACATTTTGACTCCAATGACAACCCTGCCCACTCTGCATGTCATTCTGTCCTAAACTAACATCAAGCGCAATCAATTGTTCTTTTTCTAAATAGGCCGACGGCCTTGAGATATCATTGCCGAGCTGAGCGGACGAGTTTTATTCTGTTCATCTGATTACATCCGGCTTCGAGCTTGGGTCTATGTTTCAGCAATTCATGGGTGTGTTATGATCCTGGCCAATTTCGAAGTATACATTCATCAGAAAGCACAATGCCGTCCGATTGCAAAAAGAAATGAATGAACTCGAGAGGAGAGAGAGGGAAAGAAGAAGGAGAAGAAGAAAGAAAGAAAGAAGAAGAAGATGATGTACACCAGCATAGACCAATGAAAATGCTTTTCTTCTCCGCCAACCACTCTCCTCCCCTCTTATTCAATCAAGAAATAATA